GGCGCACAGGTTGGTGTCCTCAAACAGACCCACCAGGTAGGCCTCGCTGGCCTCCTGCAGGGGGGGGAACAGGGATGTCAGTAGAGCAAAGATTATCGTTTAAATGATTGGTCATGTTGGTCTTTTGAAAGTGTATTATGGTTGATTTTCATCAGTCCCTGCAACTAAGGAATGGTACACAATGCGCGTTTTGTATAGAATACTAATTTGTTGCCCTACATATTAATATGTTAACATGTTTAACATGAATTTGGGTCTCAAGTTTGAGGAAAGTGAGTGAAGTGTATCAGAACATTGTATGATAGCAGTGCTTATATGGATGGACATTCATTTTCGACACTGTATATTTGTACGCCATTAATAGTGTTTTATAACACCGCTTTGTCTGTGGGTTAATATCCTCTCTTTCATTAGCCAGTGGTCAAGTGTATGGATCTGGTTGTTTTTCTGACCTGCAGAGCTCCGATGGCAGCACTCTGGAAACGCAGATCGGTCTTGAAGTCCTGGGCGATTTCTCTCACCAGACGCTGGAAGGGCAGTTTGCGGATCAGCAGCTCAGTGGACTTCTGGTAACGACGGATCTCACGCAGAGCCACGGTACCGGGCCTTCACAACACATAAACATGAAATTAAGTGAACTGTTATCTTTATTATGCCAAACACATTTAGTTCAAATTATGTAGAGCAGTGTGTTTACAGTCTTGGGTTGAATACTTTCTTGTACCTAAAGATAATGTTGTTGATCTTTAAATATCATTCAGTCTCACCTGTAACGATGGGGCTTCTTGACTCCACCGGTGGAGGGGGCGCTCTTACGGGCAGCCTTTGTGGCCAGCTGCTTACGGGGGGCTTTGCCTCCAGTGGACTTACGGGCGGTCTGCTTGGTACGGGCCATGGCTACTAAAGATCACCTGAGGGCACAGGACAAAGTTGGCTTTGGTAAATAATACAATGCATTTTTAAGGCACATGTGCAAAAGAATAGTGTGAAGGGGAGGGGATGGTCTAAAGGTGATACTTAATATAACCTTTAGAAGATAGTTTTTAGTATCTACATGTTATGTCATTCTCATTTTACATAATCATCTATTTTTTCTGTTCAGTGTTTATCCCGTTTACTGAAAAATACATTCAAAATTTGGTAAGAGATTGCCTGTAAATCATTCTGTGTATTGCTGTATTTTGTAGGCTTAATACTCCAAACAAAGTAACTTCTTAAATCATGATTATTAACTGTCCATGAACGTAAATATAAGCATGATATAAAACGTTTTTTTAGTAGTACAGGGCAACTTAATTTAAGTTTACTTTTTTCGTAGTAAAAAAAAAAAGTAAACACATGACAATCCCTTTAACAATCGGCCCTACAGACGTCAATCAAACACGAACGACGATACGATTGGCCGACAAACCATTACGTTTCTATAAATACAACGTTTGAGCCAATCCGCTTGTAGAGTCTAGAAAGTAGGCGGGATTAACAGTTACCTTCCACTGTTGCTAGGTCCGCCTCTCCCCCGCTCTGGTGATGGCGGCGGTTTGATGCGCAAACGGGATAAAGACCCAGGGCAGAAGTGCACAGGAGTAGCACGTAAACAACTTCAATTTTACTAAAAACCGCAGTCCGAGCGTACCGGGAAATATAAGAAGAACACAGAAGACATTTCAGGGAACTCATAGATAAGTATATGAGAGGTGAACGCTCCCTAACAGCTGCGTAAAACCGAGCTCACGGGCGCATAATTTGAAAATGCATCTCAACGGAAAGAAACGGCTGCATTTCAACTGCAGCTTCGAACGTCGTGTTTGTTATTTCCCCACGCGACAAAATAAGAGCTTTTTCGCCCTTAAATGTGTCCAGAAATGAAATAAAAACACAACTTAAAAAATTCAAAGTTCGTTAGCGAAATCTGTGATGTATTTTGAGGGGCTTACCTGGGGGGAAAAGTGAGTAGAAGTGGCGAGTAATGTTTGGCTTGTCTCTTATTTTCTTCTTCGTTTCCACAATGGGGAAGCAGCGTCCAGCGGGAAAATGGCCGCCGCGTCAGTCACATGTCCCACAATGCAACAGTGTTGTCAACATTTCTGTTTAGTTTGGTCAGATTTTGAGATAAAAATAATAATAAAAAATATCAGATGTACTTTATCGATCCTAAATTGGGGCATTTTTGCCGTTACAGCAGCATGTAAAACAAGTCATTGCCCATAATAACGATTAAAAAGAGTATAAAAATAAACAATTATAAAAAGTGTTGTGAAACAGTATGAGATAGCATGGACAACTTGCTATACACACTAATAACAAGCTAATGGAAGTGTAATTTCAAGATATTACAAGGAATTAACCTGGTACAACTTGTTAGAGAAAGATTCAAACTTATTATTGAAAGTAAGTGTGATTACATTTGTATTTACTTAATATTTTTCAATGTATTATTGAATTCCTTTGATGAAATAGCCCATTTTCTAAGAATAAAACAAGAGAATATTTAACTAAAGAGGCTATTTTTATTGTATTGCTTCAGTTGGGAGCAGATTGAATATATTACACTGTATGTAATTCAACTATCTATTGTTTATGGACAATACCATTTTCATATTAAAATGTAGTCAGTATCTACAGTAACTTGTTTGCACTTTATGACTGAATTTTAACACAACAGCTGCTTTTTGTATCATGTTAAAAGCACCAAAAAAAGCTATTAAGCCCTTAAAGTGATTGAACTATTAGAATGTGATGCACAACATTTTAACATGGTTTAGTGTTTTCTTATGTATATGTCTGCATACTGTATGGTTTCATCAGAATCAGAAACGGGTTTATTGCCAGGTAGGTTCACACGAGGAATTTGACTTGATGTCGTGGTGCATACATAAAATATAAAACAAAGAATCGCATATAAAACAAAAAATCTTTAAGGACACTGTAATAAAATATAGTTAAATAGCAATAAAATAAAGCAGTAATTTACAGCGAAATGGAATGCAATGAGTTATATAATTAAGCAATCATGCACGAGAGGCCGTTCTTGAACTCCAGTACAGGCGTAGTACTGTCGTACCAATAATGACGTTCAAGAACGGCCTCAAGCAGGGCCGTATCCAGGATTTCCTAAATACCGAGGTCCAAACATGTTAGGGGGGTTTCCGGGGACACCCCCCGAGATTTTTGGGATTTTCATGTTCTAGTTAGGTGCTTTTTAAATCCTGTGGGGGGGTCACAAATTGGATAATATATTGATTTCAAACCATGTCAGTGGGCTGACAATGTCAGCATAAATTATTTTTGAAAGTGTAATGCATAAGAATCAGATTGTTGCTATTAATGATCAGGACATGCAGAAGAGGCTAAAATGATCACAACACATTGTCAACATTCATTTTCCATGTCTCTCTCCTTTCAATAACCTACAGCCTCTCTTCCTGTTCATTACTCTCTCTGTCCTCTACTCTTTCTCTTTGTTCAATCTCTCCCTCGTTGTTCACTTTTTGCTCTGCCTGCATGTCGCTCCTGCCAGTGAATCAAAAGCAATTCAGCCATTTAGTTAATTTCACTTGTTTGCATTATTTTTTAAATTTAAATCTGTTTTGTTTGATTCTCAAAAGAGAACAAAGATGTAAGCAAATTGTGTTTTATACAATTGTATGTTATTATGACATCATAACTGCAATAGATGTATGTTGTTTACAAACTATGCCTATTGTCTATATTGTAAATTAAGACTAAGTTATAGATAGATAGATATGGGGTTATTAAGCCTACATTCTTTTGTGTGACTGTACCTGGAGTTCCTCCCTGACTTCCATCACTTTCTCTTTCTCTCTGCCTGCCCTGTCTCTTCCTTACCAATGCTGAGCTTCGGCTGACGAAGTCTTTTCATTATATCTGAGTCAGTGTAAAAAGAAAAACAATACAATGTTATATCTTCAATGTTTACTCAAATTGAAATGAAAGAAAAGCATTACAACGTGTGTTAAAAGGTAATCCTTCTGACATTGGATGAATGTAATTAACTTTAGCTCTCTAGCTAGTTTATTCACGCAATTTAAACCAAAGTTTAGCTTCTGGAGCTCCCCTCCCTGGAGAACAGAAGCACAAGCAGCCCGCTGGACTCAGATCTCTAGATACCTCATCACTCCTCCGCTGCTCCGGTTCAAGTCCGGGGCCCTTTCTCATTTCATCAAATCCCCCTCCTCGACTCCTCGAATCCTCGGTCGTCCGGTAGTGACCCGGAAATGGATTTCAGCGCGCCATGTTGAAGGACATCTCATTTCTCTAAATGCACTTCGAGGACCGAGCAGGCTCTCTGGAGGAGCTCTAACCGAGTTTAGT